GTTTTTTGATTTTGCACATAGTCACTTTAAGATGTTTTCTTGTTCATGTTATTGTTTTTTGTTACTTTTTTTCAGTTTGCACATATTCACTTTAAGATGTTTTCTTGTTCATGTTTTTGTTAGTTTTTTTCAGTTTGCACATAGTCACTTTAAGATGTTTTCTTGTTCATGTTTTTGTTTTTTGTTTGTTGCGGTTGCACCCGATTCAAGAGCCGAATTGCTCACAGGGCTATACCTAATAAATAAACTTGAAACTTGAAACTTGGGATTAAGTTCACGAGTGATTGAGTTCACACAATTGCGCTCACCTATAATTGAGTTGACGTACGATGGATTTCATGTCCGAGCGAGTTTGTGTATTATTGGTTCATGTACCTACCTATGCAACGTCCTCCGGAATGTTCCACCATTGCGGATGCCAGCATCGGGCCGGACAAACTGCATAGAAGAGTCACGTAGGTAAAACATTTAAATTAATAAAAGTAAAATAAAATAAAAATCACGACGTTTCAGAGGCAACACAAGCTTCCGTCTTCAGGTGGAACCGTCACAGCACGATAGCTGTATCAATACATACATACAGCTATCGTGCTGTGACGGTTCCACTTGAAGACGTAAGCTCGTGTTGCCTCTGAAACGTCGTGATTATTTATTTATTTTTTATTTTACTTTTATTAATTTTAATTTTTTACCTACGTGACTTTACCGAAAAAACCTAATAATATGAATCCTTGCAATCACGAAAGCTTCAAATCTAGAATGCATAGAAGAGTTTCACAGCTCATCAGTTTCTTCCGGATGAAATCAATCGCGTCTGTCTAATCAAGCAATGGATCTTGACTTTGTTTTGAATGCGTAGGACGCAGCTTACTTCGTCGCGAATGTGCACATGTGTTCTGAATTTTAAATAGTGTTGGAGGGAAATATTCAACATTTGAGAGAACCTCCTGGAGCTGGGCCTGGTGGGCTGGTGACCTCCTCCTGGTCAGGCCCGGCTCGAAACGGCCACGTGCAGCCGTCCTGTGGGACCACCAATCCGTGGGGCGAAGGGTGAGAGGCAGGAACGATGCCGCTTTGTCGCCAGGGAGGTGTGGACTGCCACTACTCAACCGCGGCTACCACTGCCGCCGCCGTCGCCGCGACCCACAACCGAGGACGAGCGGATTCAGAAACGAACGGACTAAACGGACGCACGACGAAGAGCACTTGTGTTGGGATCGAAACGTCGTGGGTTTTTTGCTTTTATTATTTTCAATGTATTCTTATTTTAATTAAATGTTACTATTTTTATTTTGGTTTTTTCGCTTAATTTTTGTATTTGATTATTCTTTTTATTTATTTTTTATTATTTGTATTTTTAATTAAATTGTATTATTTACGTGACTTTACCGAAAGAACCAATAATATTGACGCATAAACGTTGCAGTTCTGTAAACGGCAGGAATGTATGGGTTTTTATTTATTTAATGAAGGTTGTCAAACGTTTCATGGACAGACACAAAATGAATAATTAGAGTAGAAGGGGAGGGGGGCAGAGTTATTTACACTGGAGGGGAGCTGGGGGGGGGGGGGCAACCTGTGGCTCTTTGGCTGCCCCCTTGCGGGCAGCTAAAATGCATAGAGACCCATCCGAGATACGTATCGATACATAGAGACCCATAGAGATATATAACCTCATAGAGACCCATATATATACACACATATAGACCCATATAGATACAAATATACCAATATAGACCCATAGAGATACATAGAGACTCATAGAGACCCATATATATACACATAGAGACTCATAGAGACCCATAGAGATACTTAGAGACTCATACAGACCCATAGAGATACATAGAGACTCATAGAGACCCATAGAGATACTTAGAGACTCATACAGACCCATAGAGATACATAGAGACTCATATAGACCCATAGAGATACATAGAGACTCATATAGACCCATAGAGATACATATAGACCCATAGAGATCCATGGAGATACATAAAGACCCATAGAGACCCATAGAGATACATAGAGACTCATAGAGACCCATCTGAAATACATATAGACCCATAGAGACACACAGAGATACACATAGACTAATAGAGACCCATCCGAGATACATATATACCTATAGAGACTCATAGAGATACATATAGACCCATAGAGACCCATAGAGATACACAGCAACTCATAGAGACCCATCCGAGATACGTAGAGATACACATAGACACTCATAGCAGTCCATTGAGATGCATAGAGACTCATAGAGACACAGAGATACACTCAAGCCAAGCCACTGCAGTGCAATTGGACCGAATAATAAACCCACTGTAGCCTGCACCCCTTCTTCAACAGAGGGGGAGGAACAGCAGAAGGACACAAACTCTCTCCGCTTGCAGCCCTCTCATCGCGGCCAGCAGATCTCAACATCGAGGACTTGAATTTGGATTTAAAGCTTTCGTGACTGCAGGGATTCATATTCTTGGTTCTTTCGGTAAAGTCACGTAGAAGGGAAACAATATAATATATATATTTTTTATTTTAAAATAAGATTTTTTAAAATATTTTAAATATTTTAAAATAAAAAAACGTATTTTAATAAAATAAGAAAAATATTTTATATTTGTATTATTTTATTTTAGATATTTTATTATTTTAAAATAATAAAAATATTAAATATTTTCTTATTTTAAAATAATAAAAGTATAAAATATTTATTATTATTTTATTGTTTCCCTTCTACGTGACTTTACCGAAAGAACCACAATATTGATGACTTGCGCAACCTCTGCATGCTGTGCGTGCTCAACGTGAAACGAAGTCATTGACCTTCATCGTAGGTCAGACGAAAGGCTGCGTCCTCTGTCTGCCGCCCGTTCTCCCCGCCACCTCCGATGAACACGGTTGGAAACGTGCTGTGTGAAAGAATTTCGATTTAAAGCTTTCGTGACTGCAGTGATTCATCTTCTTGGTTCTTTCGGTAAAGTCACGTAGAAGGAAAAAAATAAAATAATAAAAATAAAACATAATGTAATTCTCACGACGTTTCGGCCACAACGCAAGCAGCCGTCTGTTCTCCACCTGAGGACGGCTGCTTGCGTTGTGGCCGAAACGTCGTGAGAATTATTTTATTATGTTTTATTTTCATTATTTTATTATTTTCCTTCTACGCGACTTTACCGAAAGAACCAAGAAGATGTGTGAAAGAAGTTCAAGGCGGGCCTAACGCCGAAGGAACGTAGACACGACCGGACCCGTTATCTCATCGCGAATCGCTGCCAACGCAAGCGAATAACAACGGCGCCGTGCTGTGTCGGGAAGGACGGTTTTGAGACTTTCAAAATGCAACAAACGTGGTTTTTCGTGCCGAGTAATCCGCCTCTGCGTGCCGGGCGTAACTGTTGGGCAATGCTCAAAGACAAAGATTTTCCCCTCCTACCCACCCCGTATAATCTTAACAGAATGTTGGGTCAAATGCTGTTGGGGGAGTAGCAGCTATGAAGGCCGGTACTGTGGCACACGAGAAGGTGGGGTGGCCAGCAATCACGCCTGGGCCGCCTTTGTCTCCCCCGTGGCGATGTTTAAATACGAGGTACTCATTTGAGGCTGAGTCGACCTATGCTCTACACAACAACGCGCACACGACGATTGTTTTTCCGTGGTGAAGCACGTGGTGCGTAACTGTGGAAGTGTATTCACGTCTGCGCTCAAACTTTGGCGAAACGAAAATAAATTAAACGGTCGAGTTCAGTTTGTTTTCGTCTCCTCGTGTGTGGAAAGGTTATTTATTAACGACACCGATAAAAATTTTTACAAAAAAAAAAAACTTGCTGGGAACCCAAGGGATTAATGTTGAGAACGCGAAATTAAGAAACTTTTCAAACAGGTCAGCCATGTGTCAACTTTTTTTCCAGACGAGTCTTAATGTCAGCGTGCTCGTGTGTGTGTGTGTGTCCAACTCGCTCACCATCCCACTCCTCCTCCTCACCACCATCACGCCCCTGATTCTCACCACGTCCCACCAACTCCCATAGCCTTCGAGTGGCGCCTATGATGTCTTGCATAAGCCCTCTCTATGGGTCTATATGTATCTATATGGTTGTCTATGGGTCTATATTATTTCGGATGGGTCTCTATGAGTCTCTATGCATCTCTATGGGTCTTTATGAGTCTATATATCTATATGGGTCTATTTGTATCGCTACGTATCTCGGATGGGTCTCAACCCACCCAACCCATCCGCATGCACCCTCCGATTTAACACGGTCGGCTAAGTACGGTACGAAATAAGTTCAACACATTCTAAAATTTGAAGCTTTCGTGACTGCAAGGATTCATATTCTTAGGTTTTTTCGGTAAAGTCACGTAGGTAAAAAATTTGAATTAATAAAAGTAAAATAAAATAATTATAAAATAAAAATCACGACGTTTCGGAGGCAACACAAGCTTCCGTCTTCAGGTGGAACCATCACAGCACGCTTGCCGTATCATTTACTTGATAGAGCAAGCGTGCTTTGACGGTTCCACCTGAAGACGGATTTTTATTTTATTTTACTTTTATTAATTAAAATTTAATTTTTTTTACCTACGTGACTTTACCGAAAAAACCCAAGAATATAAGTTCAACACACACACACGTGTTGCACGACAGAGAGTGGGCCGAGTGACCAGCACCACGCCAGGGCCGCCTTTGTCTCCCCAGCGGCGATTATCCACACATGGCACGTGCTGCGTGTTTCTTTCGCACCGTACGTAGCCAAACCGTTGCTAATCGGAGCTACGCATTTTTTTGGGGCTGAGTCGACCTAGAGAGACGCCAACCAAGGAACATGTGTGTTGTGTCACGTGAGCGGGACTCGGTGCAGCGCTAAGCACTGCGCCACGGCTCCCCCATCCCTCACACGCCCACCGCTCCCTGCCCATTATAAACCCCTGCAATCCATCCCCGCATCATCCGTGGGCATCGCTCCTCCCAGGCGAAGTTAAAGGAGAGTTTAACCCCAAAAGTCAGCGTTCGTTTCTTCCCCCCCCCCCCCCCGGCTATAAGAAGGCAACGCAGCCACCACGAACACCACCATTATCATCATCCATCCTCTCCACTCCAGGACAACTAGCCAACCCAGTACGTGTGAATCTTTGATAAACATCCTCACACACACCGACATACTCCGAAACACGCCACACACCCCGAAACACCGCACACACACCACACACACACCACACACCGAAACACCGCACACACACCACACACCGAAACACCGCACACACACCCCGAAACACCCCACACACACACACCCCGCACACACACACACCGAAACACCCCACACACACACACCGAAACACACCACACACACACACCCCGCACACACACACACCGAAACACCCCACACACACACATCGAAACACACCACACACACACACACCGCACACACACCGAAACACACCGCACACACGCACGCACACGCACGCACGCGCGCGTCTCGTTGTGTTCAGTTCAATTATTTAAAAAAAAACTAAACTAAATCTCGGGACATTTTTATTAAAAATGTTCACGAATCCTGCACCTCGTCTGCATGCCCCCTTTCCCTCGCAATTTTTCGCTTGCGCTAAATTATACCCACCACCACCACCACCACAAGTGATTATACGCACACACACACACCACACACACACACCACACACACACACACCACACTCACACACACACCACACTAACACACACACCACACTCACACACACACCACACACATCACACACATATACACACCCCACTCACACACACACCCCACACACACCCCACACACACACACCACACACACCACACTCACACACACACTCACACCACACTCACACACACACCACACTCACACACATATACACCCCCACTCACACACACACTCACACACACCCCACACACACACACCACACACACCACACTCACACACACACTCACACCACACTCACACACACACCACACTCACACACATATACACCCCCACTCACACACACACTCACACCACACACACACGCCAAACTCACACACACCACACTCACACCCCCACTCACACCACACACACCACACACATCACACACACCCCACACACACACCCCACACACACCACACACATCACACACACCACACACACACACCACACACACACCCCACTCACACACACCACACACATCACACCACACACACCACACACATCACACACATATACACACCACACTCACACACACACCCCACTCACACACATATACACACCACACTCACACACACCGCACTCACACACACCCCACTCACACACACACCACACACATCACACACATATACACCCCACTCACACACACACCCCACACACACCCCACACACACACACCACACACACCACACTCACACACACACTCACACCACACTCACACACACACCACACTCACACACATATACACCCCCACTCACACACACACTCACACACACCCCACACACACACACCACACACACCACACTCACACACACACTCACCCCACACTCACACACACACCACACTCACACACATATACACCCCCACTCACACACACACTCACACCACACACACACGCCAAACTCACACACACCACACTCACACCCCCACTCACACCACACACACCACACACATCACACACACCCCACACACACACCCCACACACACCACACACATCACACACACCACACACACACACACACCCCACTCACACACACCACACACATCACACCACACACACCACACACATCACACACATATACACACCACACTCACACACACACCCCACTCACACACATATACACACCACACTCACACACACCGCACTCACACACACCCCACTCACACACACACCACACACATCACACACATATACACCCCACTCACACACACACCACACTCACACACACCACACACCACACTAACACACACACCACACACACACACACATCACACACACCACACACACACACCACACTCACACACACACCACACACACACACACCACACACACACCACTCACACACACACCACACACACACATACCACACTCAAACACACACCCCACTCAGACACCCCACACACACACCACCCTCACACTCACCACACACACCACATACACCAACACACACACACCACACTCACACACAACAGACACACCCCCCCACACACACACACACCCCACTCACACACACACACGCGCGCGCTGCGCGCTGCGCGCTGCGCGCACCACGCTCAACGCGTTCATTCAAAAACTCGAATAAAATCGACAAAAAACTTAAAACGAACATATCCGCTGTCGATTGCAGTAGCTTCAGGCGGCGAGCGAGGGAGACCTCCAGTGTGCCGGTCAGCGACGAGGAGGAGGTTTACCGGAGCGGGCATGACTACGATGGTTTGGGTGGCGGGCTGGCTGGCCCTTCTCACGGCACAACACGCCGTGGACGCGAACTCATACTTCAACCGTCTGCTGCTGCACAGTCGCATCCGAGGTCGCTCCGAGGGGTGAGTGGCGGTGGTGGCGGCGTTGGTCCCAGAAATGTTAGCGGAGAGCAAACTTCTGAGAATGCCTCCCTTGCGCCGCAGGGTTGGGTGGGTGGGGAGGGTTATAATGCGAGGTGGAGAGTGTGTAGTGTGTGTGGGGTGTCGGGTGTGTGTGGTGTGTGTGGGGTGTGTGTGTGTGAGTGGGGGGTGTATGTGTGGGGGTGTGTGGTGTGTGTGGTGTGTTTGTGTGGTGTGTGTGTGGGGTGTGTGTGGTGTGTGTGTGTGGTGTGTGGGGTGTGTGGTGTGTGTGTGTGGTGTGAGTGGTGTGTGAGCGGGGTGTGTGTGTGTGAATGGGGTGTGTATGTGTGTGTGTGAGTGGTGTGTGTGTGGTATGTGTGGTGTGTGTGTGGGGTGTGTGTGTGGTGTGTGTGTGTGGTGTGTGGGGTGTGTGTGTGGTGTGTGTGTGTGTGTAAGTGGTGTGTGTGTGTGAGAGTGGGGAGTGTGTCTGGTGTGTGTGTGTGGTGTGTGTGTGAGTGGGGTGTGTGTGGTGTGTGTGTGTGGGGTGTGTGTGGGGTGTGTGTGTGATTAAGGTGTGTGCGTGTGATTAGGGGTGTGTGGGGGGGTGTGTGGTGTGTGTGTGTGGGGGGGGGAGTTTGTGAGTGGTGTGTGTGTGGTGTGTGTGTAATTGGGGTGTGTGTGTGTGTGTGAGTGGTGTGTGTGTGGTGTGTGTGGGGGGTGTGTGTGTGGTGTGTGTGTGTGGTGTGTGGGGTGTGTGTGTGGTGTGTGAGTGTAAGTGGTGTGTGTGTGTGTGAGTGGGGTGTGTGTGTGTGTGGGGTGTGTGTGTGTGAGTGGGGAGTGTGTGTGGTGTGTGTGTGTGGGGTGTGTGTGGGGTGTGTGTGTGTGTGATTAAGGTGTGTGCGTGTGATTAGGGTGTGTGGGGGGGTGTGGTGTGTGTATGTGTGGTGTGTGTGTGGTGTGTGTGAGTGGGGTGTGTGTGAGTAGGATGTGTGTGTGTGATTGGGGTGTGTGTGTGTGTGGGGTGTGTGTGCGTGAGTGGTTTGTCTGTGCTCGCTAACAACACTTGCCCCAACAGTCTGTTAAGGGCTAAATGGTGGGATATTCGTCTTTGGGGTGTTTGTAAGTGGTGTGTCTAAAAAAGAAGCGCATATCTCAGTGGTCTATACCTGGTTAAACAAAATAAATATATTTGAGTGATTTATTTACCTATCCTATACTTTGCACTCCTATCATATTTTTCGTATTTTTTTTGTTGTCGTAACGTTCTGACCCCGTGCCCCTACTGGACATGTGTGAAGAAAAGAGCTTTACAACTCATCGGATTCCTCCAGTGTAGAGAAACCATTCGGTTAGTGAGCGGTGGCGCATCGGTTAGCGCAGCGCTGCGGCTCCGAACCTCGGCGAGTTCCATTCCCGCTCACCGCCGAACGCCGGTGACGATTCTCTGAACCGGTCCTGGGCCTCCCCTAGGTCGACTCAGACTTCAACGCGGTGTGTGTAAGAACATCGGCGTTGGGGAGATAAATGGGGGGGGGGGGGGCCGGGTGCGCTTGCTAGCCGCCTCCACCAGCTTCTAATCAAGTTGCTCGCTCACAGCACTTGGCTCCCATCAGTCAGAGAAAGGCGACGACAGAGGGGGGGACGAATCTCTTCGTCTCAAGTTGACATCAAGTTTCTTGCTTTGCGAGCCGTGCGAGCGCTCCGGGCAGGCGAGCGAATTGAATGATGCGCGCGCGCGTGCGTTGACCAAGTGCTTGCGGGTGAAGTCAACTCGCAAGGTAGTCGATGTTCGCAATGCGCAACTCTATGGGGGGATTGGGGGTGGAATATTTGACAAGTCAGGAATATCCCGGGGCTGTGTGTGCGCGCGCGTGTGTGTGGGGAGCGGTGGTGTAGCGGTTAGCGCTACGCTGCGCTACGAACCTGGCGACCCGGGTTCGATTCCCGCTCAGGGTCAAACACCGGTGACGATTATCTGAGCCCGGTCCTGGGCCTCCCCTAGGTCGACTCAGCCTCAAATTAGTACCCGGTGCGGTGTGCAAACATCGGCATTGGGGAGACAAAGGCGGCCCGGGCGTGGTGCTGGCCACCCGTCCCCTCGTGTGCCGTGCCGGCCTTCATAGGGTGCTACTCGCTAATTGCACTTGCCACAGTCTGTAAAAGCTATACGGGGGATCTTTGTCTTTGTGAGTGATAGAGATACCGTGCGAATGAATGAACGGGTCACGAGAGATAGAGATCGCGACAAAAGGTACGTTACGTGCAACAAGGAACGGAGTCACAGAGACTACGCGAAGGAGTTTCAGAGGATTTAACGCGCAAAGAGGCATTCGAAGCAACAGCGTCAGGGGTGAGAACGGAGAGATGCGAAACGAAATGAGCCCAACAGCACAGAGCAAAGAGGGAATGTGCCCGTGTGTGATTGCGTCAAGGAAAGAGGGTTGGTGACACACACACACGCGCAGACTTTGACTCTGAAACAACTTTTATTGCCGCCAGCAGCAACAGCACTTGGAGGCGATTCCGATATGAAATACACAAAGTCACCAGCAATACAAATGAACGCTATAAATCTACGCGCTGTGGCGCTAAATGCACCGCGCACACACACGAAAGAAAAGTCACGTGGTGGTGGTGGCACACAGAGAGAGAGAAGCTGGGAATTGGGCGAGGGGGGGGAGATGCGAGCACGTGGACTGAGTGACAGAGCAATCGAGAGAATCAGCATTGGGATCTTTGTTTAGACTGCATGAGGAGGAATCCGATGAGGTATGAAGCTCTTTTGTTGACGGATGAGAGACGACGCGGGCACGGGGAGGGGGCCAGACGAGAGCCGAGGGAGTTGGCAGAATAATGAACAAACAAAGGAGAGGAGAAAACACCCGCGAATCATGTTGAAGTGTCAACTGTCAATGTTAACATACTCAAAGTTTCAACACGTGTTAAAGATGAAAAATTAAGTTTTACCTTTTTTTGGGCAATAAAATAGTGCGTTAGGATGTTCAAACGCCAAAGAGTCACCCTTCGCAAGGAATCGCCCAACTGCGACTGTGTAATAATTGTTTTTTTACCCTTCTATCTGGCAACAAAACTGACATCTTTTTGCAAGGAGTCATGTTTGCATAGACCACAATACCTGCAGTCATAATGCAAAAAAAAACATAACTCTGATAATGTACACTGTCCTTGAAGTTGATTGGTCCACACCCGAGACAGCTTTCCTTAGAGCCTAGGACAGTGCACATTATCAGAGTTATGTTTTTTGTTTGCATTATGACTGCAGGTATTGTGGTCTATGCAAACATGATTCCTTGCAAAAAGGTGTCAGTTTTGTTGCCAGATAGAAGGGTAAAAAACCAATTATCATATTTTTACTGGCAAATGAAGTTCCAATAATGCGACTGTGTAGTTAGCCCAAACCATCAAGCACATCACCGATGAACGCTCCATCCATGCACATCCTGGCACACACACTGCGTCAACCCCACATCATTGGACTGGATGAGGAACCATTGCATTCATTCACGACGATCGTCAAGAAACAAATAAAAACTGTTGCTTTTCACGATGCCATACGAAAGCAGAATAATAAGAAGGAAACCTACTATTGTTAGTATTTTTTGTCGCACTTTGATACTGGCAAACTAAAATAAAAGGTTAATCTTCTTGGTTCTTTTGGTAAAGTCACGTAGAAGGGAAATAATAAAATAATAAACATAAAACATAATAAAATAATTCTCACGACGTTTCGGCCACAACGCCAGCAGCCGTCCTCAGGTGAAGAATGAGGACGGCTGCTTGCGTTGTGGCCGAAACGTCGTGAGAATTATTTTATTATGTTTTATTTTTATTATTTTATTACTTCCCTTCTACGTGACTTTACCGAAAGAACCAAGAAGATGAATCCCTGCAGTCACGAAAGAAGCTTTAAATCGAAATTGTATTATTTCTTATTTTTAATATTTTATTACTTCCCTTCTACGTGACTTTACCGAAAGAACCAAGAAGATGAATCCCTGCAGTCACGAAAGAAGCTTTAAATCGAAATTTTATTATTTATTATTTTTATTATTTTATTACTTCCCTTCTACGTGACTTTACCGAAAGAACCAAGAAGATGAATCCCTGCAGTCACGAAAGCTTTAAATCGAAATTTTACAAAAAGGTCTCGTAATGTGTTAAGAATATATACAGGGCGTGCCGAGTCTTCAGTAGGGGGGGGGGGGGGTGTTGATCCCAGGGCCCCCCCCCATCCTCCACCCATCCAGAGATGGCTTTAAGTTACGAGATGTGGCAGAGAACGACAGGATGGGGGTGGCGGATGGAACACGAGGGCGTGGAGGGAGCGGTGGGTTGTGAGGTCAGGAGGGTGGTGATGGGGAAAGTGGTGGGGGAGCAGGCGGCATACCGGGAGCAGAGGGGGAATGGAATGAGATGGGTGTGGAGCGAGAGAGGTGAGCTCAAGGAGCTAAGGGAGTAGAACGAATGAGAGAGAGAGAGGTGAGTGGGACGGAGGGTAAGGGAGGGAGAAAGTTGAGAGAGGGAGGAGGAGGAGGTGGTGGAGAGGGAGGAGAGGGAGAGAATGGAGATGGGGGTGATGGGGAGCGAGTGGGCCTGAGTGGTCCTGTCGTCTGTTTCTACCGGACATCTGTGAAAAAAACGCTGCATATTGCTCATCGGATTCCTCCACTATAAATAAAGTTTCTGATTCATATTCTTAGGTTTTTTCGGTAAAGTCACGTAGGTAATTGTTTTTTTATTAATAAAAGTTAAATAAAAATTAAATAAAAATCACGACGTTTCGGAGGCAACACAAGCTTCCGTCTTCAGGTGGAACCGTCACAGCACGATAGCTGTATCAAGTGAGAGGAATTCCAAGAAAACAGTATTTGTAAGCGATGGGTATGACCTTGTTATCTCTGCATCTCTTGAGGAAGGCCAGCGTCTCGAGAAGCCGTGACTTCTTGTCTCGTTGTCTGTTAAAAACTCTAACAGATAGGTGA